GTCGCGGTTCTCCTACAGTGTATGTTATGTGTTTCTCCTATTGTGAATGCTCTCTCCTTCTCCTGTAGTGCTTGCTCTGGGTTTCTTTCTCCTGCATTGCAAGCTCTATGCTGCTCGCATAGTGCAATCTCTATTCCTCGAATGCTTTCTCTATCTATGCACTCACCTCTAGCTGGACCTTTTCCCTCTCCGCTAGTCGCATTTTTTCCATGAAGCCCACCCTTCTCTCATTCTGATCCTCAAGCCTGCTCACAACCAGACAAGCAGAAAGGCAGGCAGACAAGGAGGTAGGAAACAAGGATTATGGCAGACAAGCAGGCCAGAAGAGCGGATAGGCACAGCACAACCAAGAACCCAGCATTTAAGCTGTTTATCTATTGCTTGGACGACAGCACTCAGCAGTACGAGTTTAAGTCAAATGCTCTAAGAGACAGAGCAATAAGGAACGAAGGCATTCAGCCACAGGGAGAACCTGATGATGATAGGATTAAGGGTTTTCAGTTCTGCGGGCTAGAGGTACTTACTTACTCGAGAAACAAGCGCAGCACAATCAAATGATGAAGAATGAATGCGAATCTTGCACTACCCGTGCATGCATATACGAGAATGCATTATCGCTGGGCTCTTTTCTTGATCTGCTCGATGTACTTGTTCGTTCCAACAGCCTTATCAAGGTACTCCAACAATCCCTCCTCATGAGGCCGCTGAGCCTTTGGTGTCATTGTTGCAACCCGCCTCAACTCCCCCTGAAATCCTCAACACTTGTTAAAAGCCAGTTGTAACTTCCAACTTGAATTACTTGTAAATTATTGTTGTCGGCCAATAATACACGAACCTACTACAGAAACACCACACCTGAGGGACGTAGAAAGATTCATCGCTGAGATTGATCCCCTTGTTTTTCAAAAGTATAATGATCTCCTCAGAGAAGCTGTCATCATTATTGACATCAAGCTTGGTCATGTCGTTGTGGTAGGTCGTACGCAGTATAGCAATTTCTGATCCTGGCATAGTCTCGATCCTATCCATTTCCTGAATCAACCAGTGACACAACTTTCATACGACGTTTACATCTCTACTTTAACAGCACTTGTCTTGGATGCGGAAACAAATGTAGATGAAATGCACAAAGAGCGCACCACATTAGCGATCTCCTTGAAATGCCCAAGATGATCACAGTCGGTGAAGATGTTGTCAGTGACTTTGCTCTGCTGTCGCTGTAAGGGACCATGTAGCAGAGCGAGGGAGAGACAAGCAATTCCAACGTTAGCGATGTATTAATGACGCGACATGCGAAATGTGAGAGCTCGAGCCCTAAACCATTCCTGATCAGGAATGAGGTTTGAGATCAGAATCGCTGCATGTTGAGTCCGGAGGCGGCTGCTGCCTGAACACGATCCAACACATTGCTACTGATCCAGGTTGGTACTGCTGATGGTCTTGCTAGACGTTGCTGGAAATGCTAATAGGAATCGCTGAGCATCATGCTCACACTGCTGCATGATCATGATAATCGTTGGTGAATCTCAGCCATTCTAGACATTGCTGATGTTCAAGATTGACATCGGTGCTCCTAACGACAGTTGCTCATGATCATGATAGACATTTCCAGGTCGCTCTTCATGATAGGATGCACATTGCCGGTGATTAGGATTGGCGGAAATGATCAAGAATAGAAGTCGAGGCCTAGGGTTTGACCTAGGCGAGAGTGACGAGAGAAAAGTGCAAGCCAAAAAGGGGGGTTCACTATAGAACGAGCAGTACAAATAGGCAAGAATGAAGAAAGGTGCACCACCAAACAGAAAGTTATATGAATACAGTATTCTACACTACAAGCAGTTTCAAAACAATATATAGAGTTATATATTATTCTGACACGCCCCCATAAGTGCCTGTAGGGAAGAATGTGCAGTCAACGCCCCCATAATGGGGTACACCAGATAGGCCGCAGCGGAAATCACAGCAACAGGCAAGTGCAGTGGCAACCGGTGCAGTGATGGCAGATCCAACTGTACCAACCCCTTGACCAAGGTAGAAACAGTAGCAGGTGTTGGGGCGGCAGGTCGCCTGAGGAGCAGGCTCTGTGGCTGCAACATGCAGCAGGATAGCAGCGGCTCGACGGCAGCACCTGCACGCCCCAGCAGCAGGTAGCAAAAACAAAGGTAGCAAAGGCAGGTGGTAGCAGGGGCGGCAGCTGGAGGTGCTACGATAGCAACAGGCGACAGCAGCAAATACCCGGCTGTCTTCCGCCACCCTCTCTCACCCTCCCCCCCACAGCAGCACGAGCGGTAGTGAGAGAGAGAGGAGGGGCGGCTGCTGACATTGCAGAATCTCTCTTGCCACCCTCTCACACTCCCCCTCCCCCCACGGGTGCAGTGAGAGGGAGGAAAAGGTGAACAGCGACGGCAGGTGCAGTGTCACCCACGCGCCAACCCCACACCCTTCCCCCCGCCTTTCACTGGAGCATGAGCAGCAGGTGCGGGGCAGGGGAGCGGCCATACGCGGCTGCGCGCGGCTGTGCGCAGCTGCAATCGGCCGTACGCAGCTGCGCGCGGCTGCGCGTGGCTGTGGCAGCTCGTAACGGGACGAGGGGCGGGGCAGCTCGGGACAAGGCGGGTAGCGCGGGGCGGGTGACAGGGCGACGGAGCAACAGGGCAGAACCAGCCGCCCAACTCGTCGCCACGATAGTAGGCAGCTCGCCGTCGCGCCCATCACGTCAGTCGCAACTAAGGGCGCGACGGGAGCCACGAAACGAGGAATACGCGGTGGGCCCATGGCGTAGTTAAAAAATAAGGCAGGCCAGGATGTGACGTGCTCTGATACCATATCAAGAATAGAAGTCGAGGCCTAGGGTTTGACCTAGGCGAGAGTGACGAGAGAAAAGTGCAAGCCAAAAAGGGGGGTTCACTATAGAGCGAGTAATATAAATAGGCAAGAATGAAGAAAGGTGCACCACCAAACAAAAAGTTATATGAATACAGTATTCTACACTACAGGCAGTTACAAAACAATATATAGAGTTATATATTATTCTGACAGAAATGTTGGTAATCGTCGTTTACATTACTGCACAATCAAGATTCAAGCCATCGATGCACGATCTTTTCAGAAGTAATCACAACCGTTAGTCTTCGACGAACCTTATAGATCCCGGAAGTTGGAGTCGTACGAGTGCTCGTTAGGTTCACAAACGTTTTCGAGAGATAATTGTCAGGTTCTAGTCAACCGGTTAGCTACAGAAACGCTCTAACGGAAGCAATAGCAGACGTAATTAGCAGCCGTGACAGTAACAACGAATGGCTGACAAATCCAAATCCAACTCTACTTGGGAGAAGATCATACAGGGGCCGAACAGTGCCAGGGAGGTGTTCAAACAAGGGCCGAGAGGCCCGGAACTAACCAAACCACTGCTTTAAAAGGTATTTGCAGAGGGGTATCATTTATTGAACGTATGTCTGTTAACACTTTGCATTTCAGCTCGCGTGTCATTTTACATGGAAATGTTTACTGATTCATCACCTTCCAGCCAATAGCGTCATTTAACAAGCCAGAAACTCCTAGGGCAGCCAAAAAAACTAAAACCCCGAGGGGAACCTGGATGCATTTTCGGGATGGATCAACCCTAAAAACGAGAACCTCAGTTGTGTTTAGGGTTGATGCCTCCCTAGTCGCATCCATTTCCGAATGGGTAATTTTTTTTTTTCTGCGCGTTTCCGATCAGGGATTGATATTTATCACCCATAATGAATTTGTTTTTGGACTCACAAATTAACACAGCAATATTTACTTCCAGAAGAATGTCAAATTATAATGCTGTGTAGGCTATAGTGGGGTAGCCCATATGGGGTACACATTTCTAGGGTTGCATATTTGTATCACTTCCATTCCATAGTCATTCATTCTCGTTCTACTCTCCCCTTGGGAACTGTGCCTAGGGCCCACCACATCGAGTTTCATTTTTTTTTTCTGTCCGAAGCGCGCTTCGTCGAGTCGCGCTTCGTCGAGTCGCGCTCCGGGCTCTCATCTCGCCGAGCCGCCCTAGCAGCCCCTACGCCCTAGTGGCCCTATCGCCCTAACGGCCCTATCGCCCTATCGCCCTAGCGGCCCCTTCCCCTAGCGGCCCCGCCGCCCGTCGATTAGGCCCCGCCGCCCTTTAGTGCGGCCCCGCCGCCCGTCTCAGCGGCCCCGCCGCCCTTCTCAGCGGGCCCCGCCCTTCTCCGCGACCCCGTCGCCCCGCATTGCGGCCCCGCCACCCGTCGCTGCGGCCCCGCCCTTCTCGGCGGCCCCGCCACCCATTTCAGCGGCCCCCGCCGCCCTTCTACTCAGCGGCCCCGCCGCCCTACTCAGCGGCCCCGCCGCCCTACTCAGCGGCCCCGCCGCCCTACTCAGCGGCCCCGCCGCCCTAATCAGCGGCCCCGCCGCCCTTCTACTGCGGCCCCGCCGCCCTTCTACTGAGGCCCCACCGCCCCACTCAGCGGCCCCGCCGCCCTTCCGCAGCGGCCCCGCCGCCCTTCTCAGCGGCCCCGCCGCCCTACTCAGCGGCCCCGCCGCCCTTCAACTGCGGCCCCGCCGCCCTACTCAGCGGCCCCGCCGCCCTACTCAGCGGCCCCCCCGCCCTTCTCAGCGGCCCCGCCGCCCCTCGCACCAGCGGCCCTGCCGCCCTACACCGCCTGCGCCGCCCGAGCCGCCCGAACCGCCCGAGCCGCCCGAGCCGCCCGACCTGCCCGAGCTGCCCGAGCCGCCCGAGCCGCCCGACTAGCCCGAGCCGCCCGAGCCGCCCGAGCCGCCCGAGCCACCCGAGCCGCCTGAGCTGCCCGAGCCGCCTGAGGAGCCGAGCCGCTGGTGCCACAGAGCTGCAGTTGCTGCCGTGCCGGCCGAGCAACCGTGTTGCCGTGCTGCTGTACCGCTGAGCTGCCCGACCCACCCTGCCTGGTGAGAGCAGCGCTTCTGTCCCTGCACTGCCCCTGTCCTACAGTTGGTCCTGCTGGTCTACTGCTGTCATGGCTACCCCCAGTGTTCTCGCTTTTGACGCTGAGGGTCGAGCCATTGACTTTGAGGTTTGGGTAGATGACCTGCAGCTTTTCCTACAGTGCGATAGGGCAGACGGTCTCTCCCTCTTTGACCTCACCTCTGGTGCTTCCCCTGCCCCTGCTGCCGATGCCGACGCCACTGTTCGCTCCCAGTGGGCCACTCGCGAGGCTGCTGCACGTCTTGCTGTGCGCCGCCACCTGCCTACCACTGAGCGCGCGCACTTTAGTCAGTACAAGAGTGCTCAGACCTTGTACGACGCTGTAGTTGCACGCTACTCTTCCCCTGCCACTGCTGCACTGAGCCGCCTCATGCTACCGTACCTCTTTCCTGACCTTGCTGCCTTTCCCACAGTCGCTGACCTCATTACGCACCTCCGCACTAGTGACACTCGCTACCGCGCCGCGCTTCTTGCTGAGTTCTGCGCCAAGAACCCCCCCCCCATGTACATCACTCTCTATTATATAGTCACCCGCCTCCCTGACTTCCTTCGCGTAGTCAGGGACCACTTCCTCTCAGTCTGTCCCACCACTCTCACTGTTGACCTCCTAGAGAAGGCCCTCCTAGCAGCGGAGAAGAGCATAGTCGCTATAGGAGCCTCTCGTGGTGACCCTCGCACCCCCATCTTTGAGGGGTGTTCCCCTTCCCCCCTGTTGCCCTCTGTCGCCTCTGCTGCTGCGGCCGACCTCGTTGGTCTTGAGTCGGTCGGTGCGGCGTCTGCCCGTAGCGGGAGACGCCGCTCTGGCAAGGGCAAGGGGGGCAAGGGCGCGGGTGGAGCTAGCGGGGGTGGTGGAGGTGGCGGTGGAGGCGGCGGAGGGAGAGGGGGTGGCGGTGGGAGTGGTGGCGGGGGTGGCGGTGGCGGTGGCAGCAGCGGAGGCGGAGGCGGCGGCGGTGGTAGCGGTGGGAGCGGAGGCGGTGGTGGTGGCGGCGGTGGAGGCGGCGGTGGTGGAGGAGGTGGAGCTGGTCGGGGTGATGCTTCGCAACGGAGCGGATCCGGGGGTGGTCAGCGCCAGCAGCAGCAGCAGCAGCGTTCTCGGGACATCCCCCCTCCTCAGCAGCTTCGTGAGTGGTACACGCAGCGTCAGCGTGGTGGGGGTTTTGGCCCGTGCACCTACGTCCTTCGCTCCGGCGACCGCGCGGGTGAGGAGTGTGGGGGTGCCCACCCCACCCAGCGCTGCTTTGGCCGCCTGACGGAAGCTTGGCGTCAGCAGTTCCCGGAGGCTAGTGAGATCCCCCGCTGGGGAGAGCTGTCTAGGGCAGGCGTAGCTATCTATGATCTTGACTTTGATGCTATCCTTGCTGCCATGTATGCTGTGACTATTAGTGATGAGGGTGACTGTTACCGGTGTTTCCCGCCCGACTCGGGCATTGGTTCTGCTGCTCCAGGTGCTGGTGAGGCTGCTGCTCTAGGTGCCAGTGCGTCTGCGCCCTCAGGTACTGGTGAGTCTGCGCTCTCAGGTACCACGTCGGCTTCGGCCTCCCTCACCTTCACACTTGACTCAGGGGCTTCTCGCTCCTTCTTTCGAGACCGCACCACACTCACGCCGCTTGGTCGGCCGGTTGCAGTCTCCCTGGCAGACCCCTCTGAGGCTCCTGTCCTCTCTCACTTCTCCACTGTCCTCCCGTGTTCGGCTGCCCCCTCTGGCACCTTGTCTGGTCTTTACCTCCCCTCGTTCTCGACGAACTTGGTAAGTGGTGCTGACCTGCAGGATGCGGGGGTTCACCAGTTTACTCCTGCAAGTCAGCGGGTGACCCACTGCTCAGACGCCCGCACGGGCCAGCACCTGGCCACGTTTTCGCGTCGCCCGAGGTCGAGTCTCTACACCCTGACCACTGGGTCCCCTCCTGTCCCTGTGTCTAGCCAGGTAGCTGCGTCGGGTCAGGTGTTTGCTGCAGCGTCCAGGTCTGGTTTTGAGTCTGCCCCCTGCTCGTGTCGCCTCCTGTCTCACGAGACTCTCCTGTGGCACCACCGTCTTGGTCACCCCTCTCTGCCTCGTCTCCGAGGCATGGCTTCCCGTGTCCTTGTCTCTGGTCTTCCCAGGTCCCTCCCTCCTCTTCCTCCAGGGCCTGGTCCTTCCTGTGTCCCCTGTGTCGAGGGGCGGCTCCGGGCTACCCCTCACTCCTCTCAGTTTCCCCCGACAGAGGCCCCGCTGCAGACGCTTCACATGGACGTGTGGGGCCCGGCCCGCGTCCGTGGACAGGGTCACGAGCGCTACTTCCTGCTAGTGGTTGACGACTACTCGCGTTACACCACAGTTTTCCCCTTGCGCAGCAAGGGTGATGTCACTGAGGTGTTGATCGACTGGTACCGCGCAGCTCGTCTCCAGCTCAGGAGGAGCTTCGGCTCAGAATTTCCTGTTTTGCGTCTGCACTCTGACCGAGGCGGAGAGTTCTCCTCTGGCCTTCTGCGAGCCTACTGTCGTGCGCGAGGCATCCGCCAGACCTTTACGCTTCCGGACTCTCCGCAGCAAAATGGGATTGCTGAGCGCCGCATTGGCATGGTCATGGACGTCGCTCGTACGTCCATGATGCATGCGGCTGCCCCCCATTTTCTGTGGCCGTTTGCGGTTCGGTACGCGGCGCATCAGATCAACCTTCACCCCAGGGTCTCCAGGCCGGAGACCTCCCCAGCCTTGCTGTGGACGGGGAAGGTCGGCGATGCGTCTGCGTTCCGTGTCTGGGGATCTCGGGCATTTGTCCGCGACTTGTCTGCGGACAAGCTGTCCCCCCGTGCTGCTCCTTGTGTCTTCCTTGGCTTCCCCACTGACGCCCCTGGGTGGCAGTTCTACCACCCCTCCTCTCGTCGTGTTCTGTCGTCCCAGGACGTAATGTTCGACGAAGTCAGTCCCCTACTACCGTCTCTTCCCCTACCGCACTCCTTCCCTCCCCCCGCCGCCGCACTTCCTTGTGCCAGGTCCCCCACAGGTAGACCCCCTCCCCCCTCAGGGTCCTGCCCCTTCAGGTGTGTCCCAGGTAGACGCAGTCGAGCCGGTCGAGGTTGCTGGTGACTCTGGTACTGCTGCGGGTGCTGAGCCTGGGGGTGCTGACTCTGGGGGTGCTGCACGAAGGGGTGCTGAGACTGGGGGTGCTGAGCCTGGGGTACTGCGACTGGGGGTGCTGAGCCTGGGGGTGCTACGACTGGGGGTACTGAGCCTGGGGGTGCTACGACTGGGGGTGCTGAGCCTGGGCGTCCTTCGCCTGGGGGTGCTGCGTCTGGATCTGGTGAGCCTGGAGGTGCTGAGTCTGGAGCTACTGAGCTTGGGGGTGCGGAGCTCGCGGCCACTGGACCTGCTCGTGTGGCGTCTGGCGGTGCTGGGCCTGGTGGTTCTCCGGGTGCTTCGTCTCGGCGGGAGCCACTCTCTCCACAGGAGCTGCGCGAGTGGTTTGCCCGGCGCTGGAGGCGTACTACTGGAGCTGGTGCTTCTTCCGCTGCTGAGGGTGCAGGTGCCGCCGGTCTCGGAGGTGCTCGTCCTGCGAGTGGTACTGGAGTCGGAGCTGCTGAGGGTGTTGGCGCTGAGGCTACTTCTGTCAGTCCTGGCGGCGGTCCTGCTGCGGGTGCTGCTGGTGCTGCTGGAGGTAATGGAGCTGGAGGTTGCTGTTGACGCTGGTGCTGCCGACTGGGGGTGCTGGTGCTATCTCTGCTGTGTCTCGAGTCGCCGTGCGGCCTCGGCCGTACTTTGTTCCGCTCCTTCAGCAGGTTCTTGGTCTTCCTCCTCCCTTAGAGTGTCCACCGCCTGTCCAGTCGTAGTCACAGTTACCGCCGGCCTCCCCACTGCCTTCTCCTTCTCCGTACACTGGTCCTACTGGAGGTCTTGCTGAGCGTCGTGAGCCTGCGTCTCGTCCTGCGTCGCCTGTTCGTGCTACTCGTACTAGTGGTCGCAGTTCGCGTCAGCGTCCTCCTCCTGTCCCTGGCACGCATCGGATGTCTCTGCGTCCGTCCACTGCTCCTCAGCGTGCCCCTTTGCCCTCTTTTCCTGAGTCCTCTCTTCCTCACTTGCCGACCCGGAGTCGGACTCTCTTCGTGCTGCCAGTCCTACTGTCACGCGTCTCCTTGATACTGTCGTCACTGACCCCTCCTTTGAGTCCACTACTGCGTCTGCTCTTGTTGCTGAGCTCGTCGACTTTGCTGCTCGCTGTCTTCTAGACTACGCTGCTAGTCTTGTTGCTGAGTCTGCGTCTGTCTGTCCTCCGTCCGTCGGGGGTGAGTGTGCTCTTGGGACGGACGTCCTTGAGGACAGGCAGGAGGAGTTCCAGTGTCTGGCTGCTGCTTCACCTCATCTCGCATCCGTACTGCTTACCCCTGAGGGAGACCCGGATGCACTAGACATCCCAACTCCGCGCTCTTACGCGGAGGCCGTAGAGGGTCCCTACTCCTCTCAGTGGCAGGCAGCTATGGATGCAGAGATGGCTTCCTGGAAGTCCACAGGCACCTACGTTGACGCGGTTTCCCCTCCTGGGGCGAACATCGTCAGTGGCATGTGGATCTTCAGGGTGAAGCGGCCGCCGGGCTCTCCACCTCTCTTCAAGGCGCGGTACGTGGCTCGTGGCTTCAGTCAGCGGCAGGGAGTTGACTACTTTCAGACCTTCTCTCCCACCCCAAAGATGACCACTCTTCGGGTGCTGCTACACATTGCTGCTCAGCGTGACTACGAGCTTCACTCCCTGACTTCAGCACTGCTTTCCTGCAGGGTAGCCTGCACGAGGAGATCTGGTGCGCCATCCACCTGGCTTCACTGGACTTTCCCTCCTGGCACCCAGTGGAGCCTCCGACGGCCAGTCTACGGTCTCCGCCAGGCACCGCGCGAGTGGCACGACACACTGAGGACTACACTTGCGGCTCTTGGGTTTGCTCCCTCTACTGCTGACCCGTCGCTGTTTCTACGCACCGACACCTCTCTGCCGCCGTTCTACATCCTCGTGTACGTCGACGACGTGGTCTTTGCCAGAGCTGACACTGCTGGACTCGCCCACGTGAAGTCCGAGCTGCAGAAGAGACACACGTGCACAGACCTGGGTGAACTGCGCAGCTACCTTGGCTTGCAGATCACCCGGGACAGAGCACGCCGCACCATTACCCTGACTCAGTCACACATGGTGCAGCAGGTCCTTCAGCGCTTCGGCTTCACGTACTCCTCGCCTTAGGCCACTCCTCTGTCTACTCGCCACTCGCTCTCAGCTCTGCCTTCGGATGAGTCCGTAGAGTCGAGTGGGCCGTACCCAGAGCTTGTTGGCTGCCTCATGTACCTGATGACCTGCACACGACCTGACCTTGCATACCCTCTTAGCATTCTTGCACGCTATGTTGCTCCTGGGAGACACATACCAGAGCACATGGCTGCAGCGAAGAGGGTGTTGCGCTACTTGTGCAGTACGTCGGGCATGGGGCTAGTGCTTGGAGGGCGGAGTCCAGTGGTCCTCACTGGGCACGCAGACGCTTCTTGGGCAGACGACCAGGCTACGCAGCGGTCGTCACAGGGTTACACCTTCAGCCTTGGTTCCGGCTCTGTTTCGTGGCGGGCTACTCGCTCGTCTTCTGTTCTCGGCTCCAGTTGTGAGGCTGAGATCTACGACGGGGCCATGGCTGCACAGGAGCTTCGCTGGCTTACCTACCTGCTGACTGACCTCGGAGAGCCGCCTCGTTCTCCTCCGGTGCTGTACGTAGACAACAAGGCCATGCTAGCCTTGTGTCGGGAGCAGCGTCTGGAGCACTGAACAAAGCACATTGCTCTCCGCTACTTTCTTACTCGTGAGCTGCAGCAGCGTGGACAGTTGCGACTTGCGTACGTGGCCTCTGAGGCCAACACTGCTGATGTTTTCACCAAGGCACTTCCGCCTTGTGATCATCAGCGCTTCTGCACTCAGCTGGGTCTTGTGCCTGTCTTGCCTCACTTGCTCACCTCTTGATCTTGCTTGTACTCTTACATATATATACCTGCTCTTGCTTGTTTAGTCCTATATATATGTGCACTCATGCATGTGAACTGGCCTTGTGGCCTTGCTCTTGTGCTCGGATTGTGTGGTGACGTTGTGATCCACCCTGAGCTTGCTTTGCTTTGCTTGACTGGTCTTGTGACCCCTTGTTCTCCCCCACTTTGCCTATGGGGGTGTGTCAAATTATAATGCTGTGTAGGCTATAGTGGGGTAGCCCATATGGGGTACACATTTCTAGGGTTGCATATTTGTATCACTTCCATTCCATAGTCATTCATTCTCGTTCTACTCTCCTCAAAGAACGCGATGTGCGCGTAGTAGTAGACGGCGGTCGTAACCATTTTTTCGATAAGTTGGACACAAAGTTTGGTGCTGGTAGCTTTTCTCTTTCAAGTCACGGTTCGGCTTGTTCGCCTAGCCTCTTGGGCAGCTCGGGGTCGAGAATCCTACGGTCGAGATTTTCTGGCCCTACTTCGGTCATCCCTCTGGCACTCTTCGGCCCCAGTTCGATCATTTCTCACTCTAGTTCCTCTTTCAGTCATAAATGGTACAGAATCAGGGAACTCTGTGCTGGTGAGTGAGGGGAGAGAGAATACTGTAGAACCTGGTTTGGTGATTCATTCTTACTCGCGTGGCCTCGAATTACTCGAGTGGCCACCAAATTTTGTGATAATTACTCGAGGTGGCCACGCCAGGGGATTCTCGCAAGCTTTTTTTCCCGACGCATTACCCTACAAGGGTTCGTATCACCGAAACATCTGTATTGATAATTGCGCGATTTTCAGTTTACGCGATAATTTATAATGGATGTTTTCGCGTGATGATTTATGTTCGAAATTTTTGCTCGTGACTCTTTATGACCGCGCCTGATTGGACGCGCATATAGTCGACCAATCATGCGCGGTCATTAATGGTCGGGCACATGTTATATTAATGCCCGATCATATATTTCCGCGATCATAAACTGCAATGCCCTGGCGTCAATGCGCGGGACATTAAATGACCGCGCATGATTGGTTGATTATATGCGCGGTGCTTTGTTTGCAATGCGCGTCCAATCAGGCGCGGTCATATGGGGTCACGATCATAAAATTTCGGATATTGAAGATCGCGCATTAATCAGTACAGAGGTTTCAGGGATACAAACCCTTGTAGGGTAATGCGCCGTGTAAAAGAAAAACCAGAGGGAATCCCCTGGCGTGGCCACTCGAGTAAGGGTACGTTCTTGGCTGGTGTTAGGCTTCGGGTCAGCCTCCCACAAATTGACGGTTGTGTCTACGATTGCCAACGTTGTGTCTGGGTAGTAATAGCGAGTGTGAGTGCAAACTCGAAATTTGATTGGTCCACCTGGATTAGCCAGCGATTCCGGTTCAGATGCGCGATGTTGAGTGCGAAGCCTGGAATTTGCACAACTGCACATTCGTTACGACAATGTTGCGCAACGTACTTGGTGCGCTTCGACACATTTAACCAAACCCCTCACAGCTGCAATTTCATCACCACCAAACTCACGCGACCACCAACACATAAAGAACACACTCGTCTACTACTTCCCAATAAACGTAAAGTAGGTACCGTAGTCTAGTGAACGCCATGGCTCCTCCGCATGGTGTGGCGTTATTATTCGCTTTAGTCGCCCTACTAGTTATCGTCTACTATTTTGAGTGTCTCACCGTCGCCCTTAATGCTGGAGCAGAACAGTGGGTGCAATCCGTAGCAGAAAATCCACCTCCGCGAGACCGTACGGGAGCTAGGTTCAATTTCAATTCGACCGTCTTAAGGCGTATTAGAGTTCGCAAGAAAAGACGCGCGCGCGTAAAGATGTGGGCTTGTGAGATTGCCGACATGTCTGATATCGAGTTCGCGAACCTTTTCCGTATCTCACACAAGGTGCTCTGCGTAGTGGCTGAAGGTATGCGGATAGCTTACGCAAACATTGTGATGCGTCATGACATCCCTCTTGAAATCTGTTGTTTGGTTCCGATAAAATATTTCGCCACCGCAATGACGTTCCTAGACATGTCCTACTTTTCGGAATCACTAGGACCTTATGTCATGCAATAGTGGATGTCTTTTTAGTTGAGTTTCCACGCTATTTCAAGTCATCGTGGATTCGTTTTCCTACTAGAGAGGAAATGGCTGACTGGGAGAAGAGTCCAGAGACATAAAAGGTGTTCCTAACGTGATAGGGGTTTCGATGGCTCTCATATTCTGATTCAGGGATTGGAGGATCATAGGACAGAGTATTTTAATAGGAAACAGGCATACAGTGTGGTGCTGCAGGCGACATGTAACGCGGGTGGGGTTATTTGGGATTATTTGGTAGGTTCCCAGGCTCTGCCCATGACTACCGTGTGTTCTTCAAGAGCGACTTGTATACTCGCATGGCAAATGGGGATCTTTCGCCTTACCAACTTGTTGGCGATGCCGCATATCCATTACGTGATTACTGCCTCACACCCCTCCATGCGACCACGGCGCGGCTAATGAAGGAATGGGAACAAGATTACAACTACGTGCAGAGTGCAACTCGGATGGCTGTTGAGCGTTCGTTTGGGCAGCTCAAGCAGCACTGGAGACTCATTAGTCGTCGTAGTGAGTGTCGTTTGTGGCGGGTTTGTGCAGGAACGGGGTGCATAATCATCTTACATAACATGCACACACTGATTGA